AAAAAAAAAAAAAAAAAAAAAAAAAAAAAAAAAAAAAAAAAAGCATGACCTATCTGTTATGTACTTTGAGGTATGCAGTTTTAAGGAAATGCAGAAAAAATCAGTAAAAAGTTAAATTCCATAAAACTCTTGTATAAAATCTTCCAGAAGTACATATCCTTATAATGCCAGTAGTGACAGAGCTGTGCAAATCATACCCCTGATGTGATGAACCTCTGTGGCAGCTGCATCACCAGATTTGTTCTCAAGCATTCTCTCCTCTGCCAGGTTTCTAAGTTTATAGTTTGAGTCCAGATCAACATTTTGATGTGGTCAGATTCTGGAAGCAATTTAACACTGCCCCTTACCTACATTATACTGAAATCAGATTGTTTATTTTCAAATAGCCCTATGTAACATACAAAGATTTCTAGAGCATGAAACCTGGGCCTGAATCTAATACCTAACACCTCAGTGGCCAATGACCTGAACTGATATCACACTGTCAGTGAGCAAGACCAGCTATTTATTGATAAATAAAATTGATACAAAGGCTTACATAAACAGCTGCCAGTGCCTCCAAAGTCAGGTTTCCCTTGAGTCATCTCCTCCAGTTATGGCTTAGACACACACACAGAAGGAGTGGGTTAAAAGTAGTTTTCTATAATAAGGGGCAATGCAGGCTGCTAATCTCCCAGATGTCAAGTCTAATAATACTTCGCCATTTAAAAATATAACATCTCTATTTGGGTTGCACACTGTTATTTTGGAAGTTTGCATCTATTCAAATAATTAAAGTGATCTAAATAGAGTAAAAACAATCTTTAGTTCTAATGTGTTGGATATCTTACAGCTTTGTGGTTTTGAACTTCTAGGTTTGTTGCTCTACCTCCTTCTCATCACATCAGCCCCCAGAGAATGTCCATCCAACATGCCATGATGCAGAGACAGACTCCACAACCTCCTCAGCTTCCACACCTTGCAGGGATGCCTCTGAAGACATACCAACCAGCAGAAAGCCCTTCTTTTCAGCCAAATGCCCTTCACATCCAGGGTAAGAAGGAATAACCTTCATCAATGATGTTAGTTGTTTGTTGATATTGCTTATCTTCAAATTAAGTGCTTCAGGGACAGGCACTAATACTGTTAAGGTACTTTTCCTTGAAAGACCCTGGGAGCTAGCCTTCAGAGCCCAGCCTTCGGACTTCTTTAAAATACTTCCCTTACCTAGTTGTTATTCACCCCGGTACAGAGTTACATGTTTCTCTTCATATTGATTTTCAGCACTGTTCTTGACACAGAATGGCAAAAAATTCTCTGATGACTTTTAATTTTCTAATGTTACACTTCTAATCCCTCCTGATTTAGCACTTAAGTGTTAACTTGCTTTTCAAGAGGCAGGATATTTTTGTCCTTTTGTCGCCTGCACTTGTGGGGGGATGGGAGAACTCTTCTTGTGTAAGCATGGAAGACTCTTGCAGCTGTGTTCCCACTTGTGCTGTTTAATCAACTTCTACAAGAACTCTCTCTCTCTCTTCAATCCTGTATATTTCTTCTGTAGCCAAAGAAAAAAATCATCAGCTTGTAGGTTGTTTTGTTTGTTTGTTTTTCCTAGCTGGTGGAGACTGAATGCTAATTACCTTAACATTTCAGGAGTGTGTTGACAGCATATTGTTGTTTCCTCTCAACTCTTTAAATATATGATTTGCCATACTTATAGACACAAGGTACATAGCAGACTGGACTTTTCGAGCTCTTAGGATTCTGCTTATTGATCAGGCTTCCTGAGAATTATCATTGTATATATCATAGAAAACATCCTGGGAAGAGCAAGGTGTATTGGTTTTGCACAGCCTGGTTTTTGGTAGCAGAGGGGCCACAAAGACGGCTCCTGTGAGAAGCTGCCAGAAGCTTCCACCATGTCCAGCAGAGCCAATCTGTGATAGCTCTGAAGATGGCCCAAAACTGGGTCAAAGAATGAGGTTGGTAATGCCTTTGTGATGACATATTTAAGAAGAAAATTAAAACAAAGTGGGCACAGTTTTACTCCTACCCAGAGTAGAGGAGGAGGTGAGAACATGTGAGGGAAACAACAATGGCAGCACCTAGGTCAGTGCAGAAGGAGGGGACGAGGTGCCCCAGGCACCAGAGCTGAAATTCCTCTGCAGGCCCTGGTGAGACCATGGTGAAGCACCGTGCCCTGCAGCCCCTGGGGATCCATGGGGGATGCAGGGATCCACCCACAGCCCATGGGGGAGGTGCCCATGCTGGAGCGGGTGGATGCCTGGAGGAGGCTGTGGTCCGTGGGAGGCTGTGGAGAGAGGGGGCTCTGCTTCCAGGCTGGAGCAGGCTGTCCTTGGAGACGTGACCCCATGGAAGTGTGACCCATGCTGCAGCAGTTTCAGGAGGACTGTGTGCCCGTGGGATGGACTCACATTGCAGCAGGTGTGGTTTGACTGCTGCTTGTGAGAATGGACCCATGAAGAGAAGTTCACAGAGAGCTGTGTCCTGTGGGAGGGAGCCCACAGCCTCACAGGGGAAGGACTCCTCTCCCTGAGCAGCAGAAAAAAATTTTAGTGTTGAACTGACCAAAATTGCCATGCCCTGTCTCCCTGTGCTGTGGGTGGGAAGGAGGGAGGGTCTGGGCAGGAAAAGATATTTTAAGGGCTTATTTTACTTCTCTTCATCCTCCTCTGATTCTGTTAGTAATAAATTTCACTTTGCAGCCTTAAGGTGAGTCTGTTTTGCATTTGAAGTGTTTTCTCTTGACTCTTAACTCACTCATGAACCCTTTGTTAATTTTTTTCCTTTGTTCCCTCTGCTGCCCAGCTATAGCAGGGAAGGGTGACTGAGTGATTCTTGTGGGTACCTGGCATTAGGCCAGTGTCAAACTACGACACAAGGCGCCTTTTATTTTCTTCCACTGATGTAAGCAGTCTCTCTAGGCAATGAGAGGAAACACGCATCTTCCTGAGTTCATAAATGTGAAGGAGAGAAAGGAAAGTGCCAGTCCTCTTACACTCTTCATATTGTACTGGCCATGGAGAAGCAAGGTCTGAGGCAGGTGGTTTTCTCCACAAAGTAGTAATTCTTTACAGTACTGATCAGTACTAGAAGAAACTGAAATTTACTAACGGACATAAGCAGTTATAGTTGGCTTTCTATATTCTCCAACAGAAGTTTCACTAATAATGCAAGCCAACAGAGTACAGGGTGAAATTTCTTAATATACAATTGTCATATGACATACATGAAAACATGCCAGAACAGGTCCACAAAATTCCTAGTGCAAGGCTTGTAGGGATCAGGTTAGCCTGATCAGAAGCTTAGCCCTTCTATTTCCACAGTACAAACCATTTTACTTTACTCCCTCTTTTGCTGAACATTTGACAATAAATCATCTTGAAAGGCAATGAGACATTAAGGTCTGTCTTCCTGCCTAGAACAAAAATAGTATTAAAATTATATAGATGGATTTACCACCTTATTCTTCTCATGCCATGGGAGTTTTAGGAATCATAGAAGCTGGGAGCACAACCAGTTGCTCCAAAGTAGAAGACTTTCCAAAGAACCCTGCCTTCCAGAGATTCACAAATCACCCTGGATTAATTGTTGCTCCACACAGGTCTTGCACCAGCTTGTGCAGCAACCTTCATATCTCCTTGGGCATCTTCTCTTCAGGGCAGGACAAAACAATGCAACTGTGTTCCCATCTCCCTCTTCTGCAGTCCAAAGAGGATTTAAAAGGACAAAAGATGTGGGCCATCATTCTTTACAAGAAGAAGGCCCAGTAGAGACCCTCATCTGAGTGAATGTCACATTTGTATTGAAGCCCTATTACATGTCCAAATTTAAGATACAGTTTAATACTGTCTTCTGAGATCAAAAAATGGTTGACTTTCAAGGGCTTGGACGGTAAACCTATACCATTCTTAGTCCCATGTTAGCATTACTGTGTCTGCCTCATCTCCTAGGAAAGCTTATGTTGAAAATAGACACTGCTGACAAGAATTATTTGTACACAGATAACAATTCAAAGTTCAAATTCTAAACAATTTTGAACTTAAAACTAGTATGAAGAAAATGTAGACTGAACTTTTTTTTTTTTTAGTATTGAAAGATGTAATACAGTGCAATTCAATACCTACAATGTGGGTATTAAATGATTTTTCAATGATCAAGTAACCTGTCATCACTCTACAAGATATTTTGTCAGAATGTACTCCCTCCAGCTTAAGCACAGCTGTCTCATCCTGTATGCTATACTGAAAGTGTTGTCCTGTGTGCCTTAAGGGCTTACCTAAACTCTCTTTCTCAAAAGCAGATGTTTGAAGAGTTTATGTTTTCTCACTACCAATACAAAGATTTCTGTCTTCCTCTTCTACAATGCAGAAAAACACCATGGAGTTATCTCCACACCAGACTATTATGTATACAACAAGTAGCTCTGGGAAGTTCTGTTAATTTCTATCTCCTGCAGTTCATAACCTGCCTTTTCAAGATTTAAAGTGCTGTAACTATAGCCATTTCAGCTCAATCTGCTAGTAGACTATGGTGACAAGCTGCCTCAGTGTGTAGTCTTACACTTGTCAGTTCCATATAAATTTGCTTTATCAAGGAAGAAAGAGTTTCATTGCCCAAAAGCATTTTGAAGAAAACAAGTTCTAAACAGACATAGTTTATGAAAGCCTGAACATCTTAAAAGATCGTGGTGATCTCAGAGTACTATAGTTTAGAGAGAAATATTTATGACATCCAAGATTGACAGCCTTCTTGTATCTAATAGCTACTTGTATTGTGAAATGTCTTTTTCTTGAAAGAACATTGTCTACAGTTCAAGTTTCATTATTTGTTCTGAGTGATTTTCAACATACACAGTAATGTCAGAGAGGGCTTTCTATTGCTTCAGTGAATATTACATAATTAACTAAATATTCCCTTTTCTTGCTCTTATGAAATTCACAATATCCTTTGCTGTGTAGAATGTTCAGAATTGATTTTAGATGTCTCACTGAGCTGTAGAAGTGAAGCTCTTCTTTTCCTTTCATTAGATTGCAGTATCTTTTTTGTATTACCATTCCATAAATCTGAAACTATCCTGATTTGGAGGTTGGAATGACAACTTCCCAGCTAGATGCTGTTGTATGCCAATGAAATATGTGTTTGTAGACAGAAGACAGTGCAGGTGCTGGAAATCTGCAACAATTTGCCCAGCAACTGTATTGTACTGGTGATTCTTTTCAACCATGAAAAAACACTCAGGAGAGGTGTCTGAAGACACAGGCACCTACAGTACACAGGCAGCTGCCAGAATATGGTATTGCTTGCTCTGAGAAAAGCCAGAAGAGATGTGCTAGGTATGAAAGGAAAGAACAGCAATAGAACTTCTCTCTTCACAGTGAGAAAATTAATTGTGCTGTGTAGTATAGAGTAAGGTAAAACTTCTTAGGGCATGGGCAAAGCTGACTTGCTTTTGGATGTGTCTGACACTGTGGACATTTTTGCACTAGAAATCTGGTTGTTCTTTAAAATTGTGTCTGTAACTCTGCTCACATGTGTTTGTGAGTTAAGCTGATTATCAGAGCTATCTGAGTTATGGAAGAAATAAAAAAATGCAAAGTATTCCTTTAAAGAAAAAAAAGGTTGTCATTTCTTAAAAAAATTGTTAGCTTATATAAGTTAGTTATATTAGTACCTATATACAGACAGATCTACTAGTAACAGCTATATTTAAATTAAAAATAATAAGATTCTAATAAACAGAAACATTTCTATTTTTTCACATTTGCAAATCTGTCTATTAGTACAGTATGTGATTTGGATCTCTCTTGTACTCTTCCTTTTGTTCTCACAATCAAATGGTACCACAAGATTACTCGGTGTTTGTGTAATTTGCCTAATGGACATGCAGAAATATACCACAAAGAAACACTATCTTGACGTATTTCAAACCAAAAACAGCTGGAATTTTTACATGCCATACAAGCAAAGACTACTCAGACATGGCATATATTTTTGAATGGCAACTATAATAATTTTCTTGAGAAAATATTCTCTTGTGACAGGCAGAGAGATGACACCAGAAACTTCCTACCATAAGGAAATTATAATTGTGGCAGTCATTCATTACATATCTATAACAAAATCTTTGTCCACAACAGTTCAATAGGATAAGATCACTATTACAAATGTATGTGGACCACAACTCTACAAGTGAATTTGAGCTGAGCTGTCTACCAAGGCTTTTTAGAATGAGCCTTCAGAACAAGGCTCTTTATGTGATAAAAAACCAAGAACTTCTTGCTTTTAGAAACAATTCTTACAGCTTTCACTTCTATAATGTGCAAAAATATTTCACTTTCCTAGGAAGTTATGCTGTCATGTCAGAAGAATAGCTGCTTTTTCTCTGTCTTGACATCATCAATCTTGTTTGTAGTGTACTGATTCACAGAAACACAGCTGATATAACCTTGTGTATATGTGTGTTTTAAATAGTTTAATAAGAGACAAAATTCTGTAATCCAGAGTTGCAGCTGAAATGTTCATTTGCTGGAAATTTATTAGCCAACCTGTTTGTTTTTTTGTTTTGTTTTGTTTTTCCACTGCTGCATGAAAACATAGAAAACTGATGGTATCGTTAGTTCCTTAACAGATATCTCAAGTATGGTCAGGGTCTGCTGCCTGAAGTGGATATGGTTTCTTGTTATCCTACATTCAGCAGTATTGTAGATTATCCTGAGCATGATGCTGTGTGAATAAAGACACCAAGTTAGGAGATTTTGCTGTGTCATATTTGGCTCCAGTTCTAAGGCCTCTGCACTGTGGCTTGATGCACTGCAGATGCTCCAGAGACATTTAGAATAGTGCTAAATAACTGAGGGGAAGAGAACTACATATACTTATTTCTTGTTTATGACTCTATTTTAAAAGATGAATAATTGACACTGAATTGTGGAAAGAACTTGTATCTAGGAAAGTTACACTACTTTTCTGTGCTTTCTTTCTATTATAAAAATTTTCCTCAGAGTCTCTATGCATGACCCTACTATCAGCCAGCTGTCTTGCCATCAATGATAGATCCTTGGATTTTATTCAGACTTTACTTGTGAAATCTTCTTTCATTTTGAATTTAGCATTTTCTTAGATTTTCAGGCAGATGCATAGAGTGACTCTGGAGAGTACCGGTTCAGACACAGGACTGTGCAGAAATTTCCTGGAAAATTTCAGTTTCTAGACAGTCAATGCCTCTCAAAGGTCATGGTGGAATCAGGATGTCCATGTAGTAGTTTGTGTTTGAAACTAGTAGCAACCCGAGTAAGTTTTAGGGAGCATCATATCAATACTGCTTTATTTGTTTAAAATTATTGAAGTCCTAGTGGTAGAGCAGTTGAGATTTTTATTATTATCATGGCCATGGTTCCACATAATGTCCTTTTTATCTCTGTCCATGTCTTTTACTGATGGCCTTCTTCTGTTTCTAGGTTTTTATGGGCAGCTTCAGACATTCTGTCCCCCACATTATGCTGACACTCAGAAGAACATACAAGACAGTGTTTCTTGCAATATGGTTCCTCCTGTTGACCACTCAGCTCTCACATCAGCAGGCCAGGGAGAGCTTGGCATATTCCATGGAAGTTTTTCAGATCATTCTGGTATCAAAGGTAAATAACAGCTGGTTACTTCATGTACGATCGTGTAGAGTTTGTGAACTTAGGCAGATGTGCATGAACTGTGTACTTGGGTGGGACGTGTCATACCAGGTTTGACTTTTTACAAAGAGGAGGTAGTTTTCAGATCTTCATGGAATGGTCGGTGTTGGGAGGCCAGAAGTCACCACAGGTGACAGTAACAACTGGCCTGTGTGCAGTCTGAACACTGTTGAAAGCTTCTCAAGGGTCTAGCCTATGGGGCTTAGAAAATCTCTGGCTTGTGTATTTGAGCTAAAATACAGTCCATTGAGCCTTCTGTGATATTTGTGCAGCCACTCCACTCCACTGCACATATTGTGGCAGAGGCCTGAGATGATTCAAATTACTTTGGTGCATGCACAGGTGATTTTGCTTGGTGTTGGTTTTTATCAGTCTTGAATTTCATTTATTCACATTTCCATGACAAAAACTGCCCTGGATGCACACTCATCTGTGTGCACATAACTTAGTCTGTGCCTACATGAAAATTACTTAAGGGGCTTGCATGCTGGTCTGGAAGGCTGAAATATCTCTGTGCAAAGGATCAGTACAAGACAGTGAGACTAATCTTGGCGCTCAACTAAAGCCCAGGTCTTTTATTGTCCTTCTACACAGGATGAATCCACTTAACATTTATTGTGCTTTGAAATCCCTCTTATGTCTTGGTCCCTCAGAAGTGCATTGCAATGCCAATGCACCTGTAATTACAAAGAGGAATCTCACAGTATGTAAATATGTTACCCAAAAGTTAAGAGTGTGTCTGCAAACAGTTGTTCTTGGGCTTATATTGCCATTTGTAGAAGGTAGTAATTTCTATGCCAGGGTCAAATTTATGACAGCATTCTACAATATTTTATTGTCTTCTATCCTGTGTTCAATATGATGAAATTTGTTTAAAAAGCATGAAGTTTATTTTTAAAATGATCACAAATTTAACACCCATTAAATGAGGAGGTGTTAGTTACAATGAAATCTGCTCTACTTCAGACTTGATTCTGAAAGAACTGAAAATTCCTCCCTTGGTAAGCAGTAAGTTATGCCATTAATTTCATACATATGTTGCCTTGCTTATTTTATTTGTGTATTTGATTTAAAACCATTTCCAGTTCTATGCATAAGTATTAGTACCTACTTCATTATATAGTTATCCTGCTTTTTAACTTGGGCTTTTTTTTTGTTTCTTCTCCCAGTGTATGATTTCCCAGCAGGGTCTGTAGGTATCTTTGGTGATTCAGCTTGCAGCATGCCAGAGGACAGCAGTTTCCTACAAGTAAATGCAGTGGATCATTGTTCCAGCCAGCTTTCTTCTGTATACACTGAAGGCTAAAGTAATGTATATCTAGTTACAACAACTTGATTCTGTTTCATCTTCCGTTTCTGTTATTTCCCTACAAATTTTTTCTCTCCATGAAACTGCCATGTATGTATGGGGATATGACTACATATACATACATAATGGAGAGGAAAAAAGCAATGACCAAGCATTCTTCATTTAATCAAGCAGCAAACTGAGAAGGAGAATATTTGGAGAAAGCAAGCTTTACCAAAACCTTAGCAATTGTTTTTTTTCTTCTTATCTGTGGTACAGCAACTACACTTTTTAAATTATTTCTTCTTTTAATTTCTCAAAGGGAATTCAGAGACCAAATAAGAAAACTAGTTGTTGGCTGTAATCCTTTCAAGCTGAATGGGTGCACTTACAGAAGAAAACAGCTTTAGAAAATTCCTTTTTCAAAAAAGGAAAAGAAGCAAAACCAGAGCATACTACAAACATTTCAAAGGCATACAGTTTTTGCACAACCTGTCTGCATGTGATAGTTCCAAAGTTTAACACACAACAGTATCCAAAATGGAGAGAAATTAGACATATATATAGGCACTACTTATTGGAGTCATTGGTGTGGCTTCTTTTTGGATCAACAATTCTTGGTAGAAAATTTCTTACAGGCCTCAGATTAGGTGTCCTTTAATTCCTTCTTTATTTTAAGCCACACAATATGGCTATATTGTTTTCCCAATATTCATTCTGATCCTGTAAGCATGAATAAGACGGTTTAAATACACAAGAAGTTAGTTACATGGGCTTTGTGTCTATTTAGCACATCTGCCAGATAAGCATAAATGCATTTTAACTTTCAGTTGCTTTTTGATTAGGTTGTAGAGCATTGTTGCTATATGTTCCATAGTCTTTGGCAGGAAGGTTTAACATCTTTTGTAAGAAAGATTCTTCCTTAAATTCCATATTTTTTTAAAAAGCTATCTGTTCTGGTTCAATTAAATTTTGGTTGTCCTAATCTTTTTCCATAACATATTTTCAGAAAGAAGAACCACTATTAAGTTTACTATGTTTCCTTTGGTTACCTAGAAAGATAAAACTGGACTGGTTTGGTGGTTTTGATTTTTCTGACCAATGTCATGCTCAAGGTCTACAAATTTAACCCAGGATGCAAGCAAATTAGGTTGTCCTTCATAAAACATACAAGGTTATGAGTTAAAACCAATATTTTGCATTGGGCATGTCATCACTGTGATCCTGTATGCCTTGAGAACAGCTCTTACATTAGTAAGACTGAGTTTTTAGGTTTTAAATCCTGTTCATCCATTTTGTGGACTTCTTACTGTGTAGTGTACATCATAATATTCTCATGACCTGATAGAGTGAGGACAGAAAAGTTCATCCTTGCAGGCTGGACCATAACTATGCTTCAGAAATAGCTCTTCTAAAAAGATAAAATAAAAAGGTTTATACAACCTTTTTTTTTTTTTTTTTTTTTCTGGCAAATTTTTGAGAGTTATTAAGTCTGATTTGGTTCCAGTTCATAATTTAATCTGTAATTTTGTGGAATAGATGAATTTATGTCCAGATATTTGTGAACACTGGCAATCTTTTGAGGTTTGTATTCATGAAGTATATTATTATGTGCAGATATGTGCTTAAATATTTAATCGAGATATTTTCATCTGATACACAGATTATATAGATAAACCATGCACATAAATGAAGTACAATGAGAAGTGACTAAAATGCAGCTAATTCTGTGCTAAATTCTTCCTCATATATTCTGCTTTTCACATCACAAGAGAATGTGTCTCTCTGCTCCAGCTTGCACTAAGAGGTCTAGACATTACCATGTGTGATTTGCATTGCATTAAATGCCACCAGGCATTCTTCACAGCTATACACATGCCATCAAAAATACAGTCCTTTTGCATAAAGTGCATTGACTGCAAGTTTTGCTTTTTCATAAAGCTTTAATTTTCTACTACCTTAAAGCCCATTCTGTGGCCACTGCACAAGCATAACTTGGTTCAGTAGGAATAATTAGTCACACTGAACACTTCAGTTTCAAATGTGTGGAATTGTGTTTTGTTCCACCAAAGTCAGCAAGGGCAGACTAAGTGTCGACATATGCATGTACCTATATACTTCCTTATATATAAGTCCTTAAAAATTCTTTTAGCCACATGATTGTCCAGAATTTGTCCATTGCTGTTTAGAAAACTGAAATATTGTTGTTGTCTTCAGATCTCTACCACCTTGACTTTTAAACTTTTTGAAATATTTTTTCAAGTATCTGAATGTACAAGTTGTTCTGTAGAGTTGGGGAATTATACATTTTGAAACATGCTGACCAAAGGGAAAATGGGAGTACAGAATTCAAAAAGGGCATTTTCGGCTTGGGGGTCATCAGTTACATTTAGAAAAGGAAACTTTTGCAAGTCATTAATTCATTCTTTCACATACATATACATATACATATACATATATTTACAACTTTCCATGAGCCTTAATCCTAAAAAGAAGGCCCTAGAGAACAGTCAAATCAAGCACAAGAATATGGGCTACCAGTCTGTAAAAAGGTATGCCTTTGTTTACTTCTCATTCAGAGACAAAGAGGATTCTTCACTATTATTTCATTATTCTCTTTGGAGTTGGACTGACTTCAAGGCATCAATTTAATCACTGAGGGCAATTGCATAAAAAGCCCCATTGTATTTCATGTATATTGGATATTTAAATAGGGAATCCTGTTTGTCACAATGGTGCTTGATTTTGTGGGTTATCTGCATAACTGAGTTACTTGCAAATACTTGTGCCTCAGTGAGTTTTGTGTTGTTATTCTCAATGCTGTACTGTTAATGTTCTAAAGGGATTCATATCTAAGAGATGAAGTTATTTTAGACTACGCATATTAAACAATATTCAAAATAAATTATTTACAATTATTCTTTTATACAATTTAAGTCTTTCCCGGCTCAGTGTCTATTTAAATCTGCATTAGAAATGGTTCTACACTGGAGTATAAAATCAACTTTCAAAGTGCATGTGTACAAGTGGAAGTGTATGAGAGTGCACGTGTGGATTTGGGGCTCCCTTTCTATGTGTGTGTACACACAAACATATAGGCATTGTGGTTTACTAATACCAGATGCTGAAGAATGGCAGTGCTAAGGCCATCTGTCACACTGTATATTGTTTTCAGCTTTTCTTGAAAAGGTGTGAATGAGTATAAAAATTACATTTTAACTGTTTTCCCTGCGTAATTCTATAGCAGAATTTTTAAACAGCACTTTTTCTTGGTTGTATGAAATTTTGTTCTTGGTTTGGGGCTTTTTGTGTGTGTGTGTGTGTATATCTATCTATCTATCTATCTATCTATATATATATATATATATATTTCACTAAAGCTGTTAAAGCAAAAGAAAACGACCACAAATGAAAATTAGCTGAGTTTTTATTTAAGAAAAAGAAATTATTTTGTTCTGTACAGAAAGCAGTGTCTGTACAGAAAGCAGCTTCTTGTGTAATATTTTTTAAACAAAGCACTTTGGTGAGGAGAGAAAGTGGGATTATGTTTTTCCTAAAGGTTACAGAGTAATCTACATATTTATATATGCTTACATATACACATATGATCTTAATTTGCCATACTCTATGTCTGGCTGATATATCTTTCTCTAAAGAGATGTCTGTTGCATGTCATGAAAAAAAAATTCAAAAGAGTTACACCTTTTGCTCTACTAGTATGTGTAGTTTTGTGATTTTTTTACAGCTATTTTTCATACAATCATAATTTATTTTTGTCCTGTTTCATAACATTCTGTTTTATGTAAAAGGTAAAAATGAAAGGTGTATGTGCATGGTACAAAATAAAACTGGAAAATTGTAACTTCATTACATTACCTGTAGAACATATTATTGTGAGATGCCTTTAAATAAAACTGCTCCAGGCACTGTCCTTCACCATAAGACTACTATTTGTATGGATTCATAGAATTAGAAACCAAAATAGGAAACAAACTCTTGGAGATTTCTCAAAAAAAGTCCACTGGACTCAGAGTTTTAAGAGTGGCTTTAATTATTGTTTTGGTGAGGCTAGAGATTTGTAGAGATAAATTAATGTCTTGTGTCTCCACCCAGGGTGTGTGTTTACACCCTGGGTGGAGACACAAATAAAATAAGAAAATTTAATTACATTTTTGTGCTGTGATAATTTTGAATTTTTATGGGTTTCTTTGGTCATGTGATTTAATAGTAAAACATATCAAGCTATTTTACTTTTTTGGTTATTGTTTCTAACATACTCAAGCAATTAAAGTATTTCAGAGCACTTAATGTAAGGAAAAGAGCATTTTTAAAATTGCATTAGACAAAATGAAAATAAAAGCCAGATACAGAAGTTGATGCATGTTTATACCCAAAATACATCCTGAAAACCCAACATGCTCTAGGAGATAACAAATTACCTCACTGCACCCACATATTGGACTAGAAATCAAAGGAAAAAATACAAAATAAAATAATTGAGTTTAGAAAAATCATGTTACAAGTCTGTAAGACCTTTGAAAATAATGGTCCTAGTTAATATTAGAATGAAATTATTGACATGGTTGGCTCTGTGTCAACCTTGATCAGATAAAAAACTACTAAGCTCACATTCAATGCCACTTACAGATGTGATCCTGTAGAGTTTTGCTAAAAGTAAGCTTTGCCCAGTGCAATCTTATTTACCCTGCATCTTAATTTAATGTAAGAAATACGCTCCATGGTTTAGCAAATGTTGTTAGTGAATTCTCTAAGCTACCATGCAGCTACATTGCTGAATTCAAGTGCTCCAAAATTCTTTTCTTTTTTTTAAATGCAGAACTCTTAAAATGAGAAGTATACAAGAAGTATACAAGTTCTATATGCAGTGGAAAGTAACATGGCTCAATATGCTTCAAAGCCATGTGCTTTGTCCTGTGTTCTTGAGCTGGATGAGTGTTTCATGATGTCCTGCAAACTATCCTGTAGAAAAATAGTCATTATTATGTCATTATGCGACAGGTATATTCCTCCAAAGGACAATAGTTTCTGAATGAAAATTGTCTAAACTTTTTATTTGATAAAGTGTTGGTGTTTGGGGTTTTCCTGTTTTAGAACAGAATCATTTTTTGAAACATGAGAAATTCTTACAAGATAAAAATTTGGGGGGTGGGAGAGATGATGCTAATTCATTGTGTTTGAAATTACAGCTATGAGTTCTCCCATGCAACTGTGCCAAAGCCCACTGTATTTGTGAATTTATATAATCTCTGCCCTAATGGAAAATTCTTCAATAAAGCTTTATGTACTGCAATTTCCTTCAATAAGAGGGGAAAAATAAACATAATTCTTCCATTCTGAATATGTATCTACTCGTATTTACTGCACCTAATTACATAATACCTTGTATTTGCAGATGAGAGTGAGGATTTCTATATGAAAACAAAACTGACCAATTCCCTAGACCATGTTCCCCAGGAAAATTCTTGCCATGATCCTCAAGAAAATGCTTCTCTTTCAAACTTGCTGTTTCCTATCTCAGATCACTTTGTAACTCCAGCATCATATATG